CGGAGTCTAATAGTCCCTTGAAGGAGGAGTATGAGGGTAATAATTATTATTTAAAAATATTTGTGTAATTAACAGTTCTTTAACATTTGACATTCAGCATCATAGTCTTAGATCCTAGTTTCTATCTGTTTCAGATCTCTGAATTATAAATAATATGACGAATGTCTTTGGTGGATATAATCGTTAATAAGAATTCCGTCGAGTTTTATTTGAATAATTAAATAAATTTTTTTAAATAATAATGATTACCCTCATACTCCTCCCTCATGGGACTACTAGACTCCGGCATCATCTCCTGGACTGTGCCATCATCGTCATCTTCTCCCATAAAGCACCCACAACAACAACGAATAAATAGTTTTAACATTGTTTTTTTCAAAGTTTTAGCAAAATAGTTTTTTTAATAATTATAATTGTTTAAAATTTCTTTCTTTAAAACAATCGTTACGTAATTTTCGTTATCAGCGTATTTATTTTATAAAGTAGAGAGTTTTTTTAACAAACAAAAATGTTAACACAAAATTTTATATTTTCCATTGAAAAAAGAAAGGCTTATCTATTATCAATATTTTTCGATAAAGTTTTTAAAAAGAAAATTTTAAATTGCATTTTCTGATATTATGGATGCTGAGTAAAATAAACTTCCACCATCATTATTAAAAACGGTATCCGAAAATATTGATATAGGTGATGGTTTGACAGGTCTATAACATTGATTAGTAGACTATCACAATTTTTTTTTAAATGAATTCGAAATATTCTACAACCATACTTAATTTATAAAAAAAACTTACATATTAAATTATTTTATTGAATAAATTTATAAAATTTGCTGTCCAAATTGTTAAAGGGGTGAGAAATAGAAAAGGGGAAATCGTCAATCACATAATAGCTTGCAAAAGATTCTCTTTTTAAATAATTTATGCTGATAATTTGTGAAGAAAATTTAATGAAATGATGTTTTTTATTGTTTAATTCTCATTCATAATTAAATTCTATAAAGATATACTCTTAATTTTATGTGAATATAAGTTATCCTTTAGGATATATCCATTGGATTAAATCTATATAAGATATTATATAAATATCAATAACAACAACAATACGATAATTATAAACAAATTTAATTATTGTATATGGGAGCTTACATTTTTGTTATATTATTATTGTAAAATATATGTATTTTTAAAAATTATTTTATCGAATTTATAAATAGTCGTCTGATTTTATATAACACGTGTAGAACTCGTACTTTGCTCCCAAAAAAGTATAAAAGGGACGAGATTTCACAATTGTAACAACTTTTTGTGTTTTTTTTAAATTTTCTTAAAGTAGATATATATATTTTGTTGGCCAATAAAATTAACAGTTGAAAATTTATTTCTTTAGAGCTGTATTAGTAATAAAATAGCGCTGTATTTATTGGTAGAAATAATATAAAATTTTAACACTTTTTGAAGAATTTATCAAAAAAAATATTTAGGTTAATACAATGTAGTTTTAATTTAAGGTAACATTTTTATGATTAACTACAGCTCCTATATTAGTGATGCAAAAGGGCATGATTTGGGATCGATATTTAAAAACGGCCCGATCAAGATTTTAGCCTAAATAATATTTTGTAATACAGCATATTTCTATTAGTAGATAGCAGATTGAACCTCTTATAGAGCTATTATGATATAAAAATATTGTTAAATCGTAAATTTAACGGTTTAAAATTTAATTTGCTATTATGTGTGAAGTGAAATAATAAATCAACTAAATAGAAGAAAAGAAAGAAACAAGCATGAAATAAAACATTTAATGTTTCACAAATTTGAATGGTTTATTATATGGTTATTTATTGTGGATAAATTTTTGTTAAGTCATACCATTAAAGAAAATAAAAATTAAATCATAAATTTAAAAAAAGGATGGTGTTTAATGTTTCTCATTTTGAATTTATTTAATTTTTCGATATGCATATTCGGTGATGGTATACTATTATAATATGGAGAAGTGTCCATTTATTTGTGTAGTTATTGTTTTTATAATAAATTTATAAATTAAATGAATTTTTGGTTAAAATATTTTAAAGAAAAATTTATTATTAAGTAATTAAGTGTTAAAAAAATTTTTAATTTTATATACACATGTGGAGACGTGTCGTCCGTCCATTTATTTGTGTAGTTTTTATTTTTGTAAAAAATTAATAAATTTTAAATCATTATTTCTTTTTTTTATTTTTAAAGGAAAAATTTTTAAAATTAATTATATATAAAAATGAGCGCCTTTATTGGACTATGGGCGATTTTATTTGCAAGTGAATCTTATCCTAAAGAAACCCAAGAGAGTAAAAAAAATAATAAGAAGAAATAGTCGAACAATTTTAACAAACACAGCCATCCTGACAATGCTTTAGATGTCAATTATTTAACCACTCGATGAGCAATTGAGATGTATCAGGGTATGCCTTGAACTCTCAACCTCAATATACAATCAACGGAAGGAAGATATGCCCAGGTGGATAAATAGGCTATACCGTTGAGCCTATGAATCCTCAACCCAATATATAACAAACGGAAGGAAAATATGCCCATGGATCAAGAAGCTTTAACGTTGAGCCACCAATTTCTGAGGAGTCGAAAAATAATAATACTAGAATGTATGACAATGGAACAAGAAATTTTGGGCATGGAAATCAATTGATGTTACAGATTGACAAGGAGATGGAAGAAGCCATAATCCAGTAGAACACAAGAACAGCACTTTTTAATTCTTTGATTTTAATAAAAATAAATTGAATTTTAACGTTTTTTTTTAATGGTGCACGTGAACCCAGTATCTGAATTATGACTGTGACAAGAAGAAAACAAAGGTGAAGAGATATTTGGATTTCGTTTATATTATAGTTTATACATGTTAGTAACTATATATTCTTTTTAACGATATATTCGTATTGTATTAATATACTTTTTTATATATTATATTTTGTAAATTGGATAACTTATTTTATATGATATACATTTTTACATGATTGATTTACCTTGGATATAAAAAGAGATTTTATATTATAAAATTTATCAGTTAACACTTTTAAAATAAAAATTTGTTTGAAATTAAATTCTTATTCCCTTCGACAAAGCAATTCTCTCAAGACAGACATCTAATGTTCAATTTATTGACAGGACTTCTCCTCTCTTGTCAACATTAGTATATTTATCTAAATATTTATAATAGGTTAAGGTCTCTTTCATTTATTATCTAGAATATGACTCAAATATTAAAATACCATTATTAAAACATATTTAAAAGTTATAACAATTAAAATTATCTTAAAATATTTATAAATACCACCAAAAAAAAAATCATCTTAGATCAAAACTATAAAAATTTATTAATATTGAACTATTTACCGCCATCTATTTAAATTTTAGTAAAAAAATAATAATCATAAAAGCGGTCACTTAAAAACATCGTAAATTTAAAATATTATTTTTAAAAATGGTCGCTTTAAAGAGTTATCATTACAAAAAAATAATCGAAAAAAGAATTTAAAATATTTTCAAAAAAAAAATATAAATAATTAAAAACCTTTTCAAAGTGATTAATCAAAATTAAGCGGTCATTAGCGGATATCACTGTAATTGCAAAGAATAGCTTAAGGAATAATTTTAGATTTTTTTGATAAAAAAAAAAGAATAAAATTTTTTTATGTGGTCACATAATTTAAAAATTTCTTCAAAACTAGTGTTGTTAAACAAATTCTCTCTATCCCCTTGTTCATCTTTCTTCTTCGCCCCTGTCCACATTTATTTTTATATTCGTCTATTAACCACTGTGATACAATCCATTGGCTGATTCATCACTATAAATCCATTCCCCTCTTTTATCTTCTCTTTTATCCTATCATATTGTCAATTCATTTATTGTAACATTTCCATCCATTTTATCAATTCTTTTTGCTTTAGACTATTCTCGCTTCTTGCCAGTTTTTTTGTCTTCACCTACTCTAACGGCTCCTTCTATTCATTTTATCTTTTTGTTCCAATGGATTATCCCCTTTTCTCCATTTTTTTGTCTTCATTTTCAAGCTGTTTTCTTCCATTGTTACTTCTCCTTTTTCTTGTGTTGTTTGTGTGTGTTTAAACATATCTTATTAAAATTAAAATCATATAATTTAAATATTTAAGATTAAGAATATAGAATATAGAACATTTAAAATATTATGATAGAGAAAATATATTAAAACTGTAGTTATCTAAATTATTATTTAATTAATATAAAATCTGTTTTATTTCCCGGCTTCTAGTTAGATCTACTCTGTGTAATTTTTTCATTCTAATTCTATCAATTTTTATATTCTGATACATTTAAATTTAACCTCTTTTCTTTTCTATTTCATTCATTTCCCCTATCCTATTCAATTGCACTATTATTTAAATTTCCTCTTTTTATTTGTTTTTCTATCATTTTTTCTTCTCTACTTCCTACTTTTCTCCCCCACCCCTCCCCCCATTATTCTAATTCAATTATATCAATATACAAGTGGTTCTTCTATGAATACTCCTATTATTCTTCGTATTAGTCATTTACTACTTTCTGTCTTATATAATAATCCTCCGAGTTGCATAATTCTTCGAATTATTTGCCCTAATCATATTATCGATCCGATGCTCAGTTTAATTATTCTATTCAATCGAATTCTTCTAAATCAAATAATTTATTTTCACACTTTGACTCTGCTATACTAATATTTATATTCATAAAGTTGCGAATCGAATTTGAATACGACTTTAACCTCTCGTGTTTTTTAATCAGTCTAACTGCTTGATTAACTTCTTATTGTCTTTATCATAATTATTCCCCATTCCTAGCCATACTAATCTCATTAACCGATACTAAATGTCCTACTCCCTGTCATCTTATTTATTATTCATTTCACCCATCTATTTTCTCCCGTAAACGTTTTTACCCATAACGCCTGATCCTCTGTGATTCGCGTTAAATCATTTGTTTTTTTCTCCCCGTTTCGGCTCGGTCTTCTCTAACGTATCTAATCGTTATCTCCTTCCTTAAACTCGGCCGGTGACCTACCTCTATCAAATTTATTGTATTAATATAATACAACCACAAACTCCATTCCCCTCCTCCTCTGGACTTTTTTAACCAAGACTTCACTAACCCTACCTTCCGTTCAGCCTGGTCATTAGAGCTTGGGGTTGACATGATGGTGATAAAATGTGTTATATTTTTACAAGATTTATTAAACTTATTATTTATTAATAAATACTGGTCCTCCGTCTGAATACTAACGTATTTATTAATCCGCATTTATCCATCCATAGTATACATTTTTTTAAATGGTTATTTCGCTCCTTAAGGGTGCATTCACAGTAGAGAGCGACAGCGACACGACAAAATACAAATATGTGTAAATACCAATGACTATTCATAGTGAGCTTTTGCGACGCGACACGACAATCCCGCCAAATTTGTCGCATTAAACATAAAAATCACATTACAAAACATTTTGTTATTTTCAAAGCGACAAACTATAATATGGCCGAAATACAAAATTTGCAAGTAAATTTTTGATTATAAAAATATCATATATATATTTTTTAGGATATAAATAAAGAAGAGTTGATCAACTCTGTTAGATTTTACCCTTGTCTTTATGACAAAAGATCAATTGGGTATAAAAATACCCAGAAAAATAATTCCATATGGAAATCCATAGCAGCAGAAAATAGTATTGAGACAGGTAATTAAAGATTATATTAATTTAAAATATTTTTCTTTTACAGTAGAGATAGCTTAATCTACATGAAAGTATCTAAAAGATTCTTTTTTGAGGGAACATAAAAAGTTGAAATGTTTAAAAAGTGGGTCAGGGGCTGATCACAGTCCCACCTGAAAATTTTATAATAATTTAACTTTTTTGATTCCCACTATAGAATCTGGGAAACAATACACCAACCTGAAAAAAATAAAACCTCTTATACCTAATATTGGTGACAGATGAGTGGAAATTTCCAATATGAAGATGGAAAATATACTAATTTTTGTTAAAATTTTTATTATTATATAGCTGTTGAAATTGAATGTGACTGTCAGAGTCAATCTACAGATGTTAGGAATGATGGTGATTATATTTTATATAAATAATAATATTATATATTTAGCATCACCATCAACTAGTGAATCTTATGTACCTGGCAAAAAGTTAATTAAAAAGAGAGATATTGATCAAGGTAATTTGCATTTGTAAATATATTATTATTTTAAACTAGATTTATTTGAGCAAGTTCTTGAAATTGAAAGAATAAAAGAAAGCAGAAAATCAACAAATTCTTGGATCAATGTGATGCTTGAGCAGACCCTGGCAAAAAGATCAGATAGTGGAAAGAAAAAATTAATAAAAATTATTTGTGACATTTTGTTAAATTTTGATAGTGATGTAGAATAATATTGCTTATTTATTATATTAATAAAATTTAATCTCACATATACTTTCTTTTTAATAATTATCATAAACTCTTGGATCAATGTTTTGCTGCATATTTATTATATTAATAAAATTTAATCTCACGATATACTATCTTTTTAATAATTATCATAAACTCTTGGATCAATGTTTTGCTGCATATTTATTATATTAATAAAATTTAATTTCACAAGATATTTTCTTTTTATTAAATAAATAATTACAAATCATAAAAATAGTTTTTTTAAATATATTTGATAATAGAGTTATAATTGCCATGATAATTTGTTACTATAAAAATATTCAGAAAAGGCATCTCTGATATCTTTAGAAACCTTTGAGGGGTTTTTTATAGATTGATTATTCCATAAATAATTATTTTGTTTAGGATCTTGAGTATTCTTGGGGCGGAGATCTACGTTTTCTTTATCAATCACCAAATTGTGTAATAGTGCACAAGTTTTGATAATTAATTCACTGTTGGTAATATTCGTATCCAAGGCTCGATTCAGAATTCGCCATTTAGATGCTAATATCCCGAAGGTACATTCCACCATTCTTCTTGCCCTTGAAAGACGATAGTTAAAATTTTCTTGAATGTGTGATAATTTACCTTTATAAGGTTTCATAATATAATATTTTAGAGGGTAGGCATCATCTGCAACAAAAACATGTGGCAGAATAATATTTGAATTTGGTAATATTTTAGGAGGTGGAATATCTATGTCTCCATTCTCAATCATTTTTGATAATAAAGAATTGGAGTACACACCTCCATCTGATTCACTGCCATAACTGCCTACAGCTATTACCATGAATCTACCTCTACCATCAACTAAAGCTTGTGGGATTATGGAAAAATATTGTTTATAATTATAATATAAGCTCCCAGATTTAGCAGGATTTCTAATTTCAATGTGCTTACCATCAATGGCTCCAACACAATTTGGGAAGTTCCAAGACTTCTCAAATTGATCAGCGATTATTTTCAAATCATTTAAATTTGGTGGTTTTAAATGAATATTTTCAAGTACTTCAAATATGGCAGTACATGTTGTGATAATTATTAGTTGAATTGTTGATATTCCCATTTTCCTAAGCTAGGATAGCTACACCCTGTTCCCTAATATCTAGCAATTTTGATTATATAAAGTAAAATAAATAATATAAACCTTAGTGTTATCATCAATTTTTCCTCTACTGATGTAGGATTTTTAATAAAATTGGTTTTTTTACCACTATTCTTGATTTAATATGGCTTAAAATATAATAAAAGGTTTTCTAAATACAAAATTTAAATTTAGATTAAACATTGAAATATATACTTTAGTTAATCTCATATAGTTATAAAACTTTTCAGGATTGTTTAAAAGTTTGGGGAAAAGTATGGCGAACTCACCCTCCTCTTCTTTTCTAACATTTAGGTTATTTTTTCTGCGTCTTTTCATTGCTCGATATAAGAGGATTAATTTTAAAATAGTAATTGACACCATTTTTTAAAAAAAATAAAAATATGTTTGCCGCCTACTACTATGAATGCTCTGTCGCTTACGACACATCAGCTGCTCTGTCGCTTAATGTCGCGTCGTGTTTGTCGTATCGCTCTCTACTGTGAATGCACCCTAACCCATTAACGTTCTCTCATTTTATCTATTTTGATCGACTATAATGATAAAATTTTTCCCATTTCAAAAATATCCTTATGTACTCTCTCCTGAACTCTTTGTTGGTTCTCAATTACCTTTATTTTTTTATTGCTGGCATTTTGGTCACGTTTCATTTCCTAGTAATTTATCCTAGGCTCATTATTTGATTTTAGACTTCGGGCATCATTAATATAATTTTTATATTAAATTTAATTAAGATTTTCCAATATACAAACATTTTTTCTTCATAACCAACAAAACTAAAATATTTATATTAAAGAAGAATTTAACACCGCTTGAGCCCCGGCAAACTGAAAGTCTAGCGACACTCGAGCCTTTTTTGTTGGCATTTAATTTGAAGATAAAACGTAATTATTTTTTTTATTAATATTTGTAGATGTATAAAATATGATTGTGAATATATAAATTTTAAAAAAAAATTTTTTAAACTACTTTGGTTAAATATATTTAGGATATTAGCTCAGGTTATCCTCCAGAGTTAATACCACTACTAATTTAGATGTATCGATAACTGTAAATTATTTTAATAAAAAAAAATATCGTTTAAATTAAATGACTATCAAATAAACAAACAACTAACCAAAATATTATTTAAATAATCTAAGAGCAATTTACTTAATATATTTAAAAAAGTCTAAAAACTATTTACATATAGTTAATCTGTTGATTCTTTTTTTTTAAAAATCCATGGCTCTAAGATATCCTCAAAGCACTTTGACCGATATGCTTTTCGACGCCCTGAGTCAACAGACTGATGATTTAGATCCTACATTAAAACAAAACGTAAAGTTGTACCCCAAGGAAGTTAGAAGGCGCATAGTGTCCCAATATAAGGATGACATGACTCCGCTATTTATGGCCATCTCAAATTGCAAGAGCAAAGATTTGATCAAATTTTTAATCAAGGATTGCAAAGCAGACGTGTAGCAAAAATGCAAGCTCAAAATGCAAGAAAATGAAACAACTCAAACCATTCACAAAGTGTCATCGTTATGGTGCTCGGCGGTTAAAGGTTACATGGCGTTGGCACAGATATTGGTAGAGTTTGGAAAAGCCGATGTTAATAGCACATCGGATTCAGGTTCGACCCCTATTAGATCGGCTTGCTTTATGAACAAGATTGAAATAGTCAAATATTTAGTTAAGAATGGTGCCAATATTAACAAACCCAATTTAAACGGCGGTACGTGTTTAATAAACTCGGTTCAGAATCTTGAACTATGCCAATTTTTGATTAGCAATGGGGCCGAAATAAATGCTCAGGATATGCATGGTAAAACTGCTTTGCATTACACTGTCCACGAAAATAAGACCCATACTATGAGAGTACTCATTATGGTGCAGATGTAAGAATTAAAAATGTTTTTGGTGACGACCCCTTACAAACTTCTGCTCTTAATGGTTCATATAATATTTTTGAATTTTTAGCTAAGAATCCAAAATACCCTAGTGATTATGTTTTGAATCAATATGATCTTTTGGGGGCCAGCGTATTAGAGAAGTTTCATGATATATCATAGGCCGTTCATTTCTGGGAATACAGTTTAGAAATGAGAAATTCAAACAATATTAGGAAAAGGAAATTTAAAAAAGATTTCCTTATCCTTCATAAATTGCCTAAATAGTTTTCATATAGATGAATTTGATGACCTGGCAACTTTACAGGAGATTCGAAATGATAGTGAAATAATGCATCTACATTCTTTGCTAATATATGAAAGAGTGATAGGTTCTAATCACAGGTAAACTGTTTTTAGAATGTTATACAGAGGTGCAGTTTATGCAGATTTGTTAGAATTTCGAAAATGTTTAAGTATATAGATATATGTATATGAAAATGGCAAACTATATCATATATCACCCTGAGACCGTTTTTACGGGGAAAACATTATGCATTGTATTGATGGAAATGTCCGAAAAATTTGGAAGATCTATCATAAATGAACAGCCAAGATTGTAGGAGTTGACCAGAATTTTAAAAATAATCGAAAAGGCTTTGCCAGATGCTACAAGTAAAATATTAATAAGACCTATTTCTGTTCAGCAAGTGAATTATTTTAAAAAATCATTGTTCAATATTTTATATTTGCTTCATGCATCTAATTTTGCGTATAACGATTAATCTAAGAACGAATATTATCATTTTAAACTTACATTGTACAATATAATAAAACTGAACCCGTTAACACCTAATGAGGCATCATTGCTTCATTTATGCATAGATAAATCTTCCTTTCTCTATTATTATATTTTATCAATATTCCCTAGTGTTAATGTAGTCGAGTTATTGATTGAAGTTGGCGGAGATGTTAATGCCAGAGATATAGCTAACAACACACCATTGCATTATGTTTCTTTACTGTAACAATATTATGTTATGGTGCAGATTTTAAAAGTTCTAATAAAAAATGGTTCCCATTATGATTCTGTAAATAAATCAGGACGTGTGGCAGGTATAAGCATTTCTAAAGAGCCATCAACTTATTGGTTGAGAAACTTAAATTTAAAATGTATTGCATCTTTAGCAATAGTAAAATACAAAATTACAACTGAGGGGTTGCCCAAATCTGTAACTAGTTATATATCTCTACATTAGATTTAGAATTAGTTTGGATGCATCACTTATGTTTTATAACTAATGGTAATTTTACATAAAAAAATATATTTTATACAATTAGATATATTGGAAAATATACAATAAAATACAAATTTTAATAAATGGATATCGTCGGAATTTCTTTTATATCTAATTGTAAACACCATATTCTATTATAGCATTAAGTTTAGTATTAAAAAATAATAATTTAATTTTATGTATATCCCTTGACCTTTATTCAGTGCCTTCTATTACAAAAGGGGAGGAGTGATTCAATAAGGTCACTAAAATTATAAAGTGGGCATAGTTTTTTGATTCAATAGAATTATGACTAGGATACTCGTTTTCTCTTAGAAATTTTTTCAAGTATCCCCTCCATCCCTAATTTTATTTAAAAATATCTAGTTTTATAGTCATTATTATTATTGTGTGTTATATTATAGGAATTAATAAATTAAAATATTATATATTTTGGTTATTGAATAGTAATATGTTTTAATTTATGTAACACACATTCATTTAATTCTGTTTATTCAAATCGCGCATTCATTTAATTAATAACTTATTCATTTTAGTTTTACCTTTTATTTTTATTGTTAACCTTTTTAATATTATATTCTAATTTTAATTTGTAAAAATGTTATATATACCATATGAAAAAGAGAAATAAATGAGATAAAATAATATATTTACTTTTTCTCCAAGGACGTCCTTTCTTTTTTGTGAAATTTGAAAATATTTCTATTTAATAGTGTTGTTAAACGGTTCGTTGTAGCCTATTTTTAAAAACGGCTAACTCAATATTTCATCCAGAAAAATATTACGCAAGCCTAAAGATTTTGTTTGTAGAAGGAACAAAAGGTAGGACATTTATTAGCCAAATCTCGAGGCTTTGGCAATCTTTTTCTAGCTAAAATATTGAGTTAGCCGTTTTTAAAAATGGGCTCAAAACGAGCCTTTTAACAATGCTACAATTTAATATTTTTATACTTCAAACTATACATCACTCTATACAAATTTATAAATATTTAACTTGTAAAGTACAAGTTATAATAGAATTGTAGAGAGAGAACAGAATACATCATTCCAAAAGGACAATAGCATATCTTAATTTTTTTTAAAAAATAGTGAACTCTGAAATTTAATCCTTTGATAATAGAAATATATTCATTAAAATGTTGCACTATATTTGACTACATTCAAAAATGGCGTACTAATAGCCATTAGTTTTAAAAAGTTTTACACTAAAATTAATATTTTTTTGAATTTAAATTTAAACAATAAAAAAATATATATATTTATCAATGATTATTTTACCTTAAAATTTCAAATTATAACTTACTAAGATTTGTTATCAAATGCAAACCCTCGATTCAAGGGGTAGGCACGGCCTAAATTGTATATATATATAGTGCAGGGCGACGTCAGCGCCAGCAATAAACCATGTAATAAATTGAGCTTTTACAATCGCCCATATTCCGAATCATCTTGAGTCCACAAATTTATCTCAAGTAGGTTTAGAACCTTATGATATGAAAATCTTGGGCCCTCCGATAATCTGCGTCTCTTCACTCTCTTCTAACATACATATCAATTCACTGTCACAAGCTACAAAAGATCATTAAATACAAAATTTTTAACAACTTCCTATTTACTCCAATAGTGACTTCCACGAACGGCCATTTTTCAGAAATGACCTATAAGTTTTTTAAAAAATCTAAGCGCGAAAATCCAGCTCTTTACAAACGAAGCTAAAGAATTTACATATATATACAAGTCAAAATATTCAAATAGAAATTTCAGGTATCATTATGGTTCCTTTTTGGTA